CCATTTGTAAAGTGGGGTGAGACTATCCACTTTGCAGAGTTCTAGTAAATATTAAAGCTAAGAACCATGATGGTGGCTGTAAATGTTATTTCATTAGTCCAAGATATACATTACGTTCCTAACTACGTCTGTTTCCTGACCACTTGTGTAGGGGAAGAAAGTCTACTTGCTAACAAGGCAATTCTCTGTGTATTAACTCAGTGTGTAAATACTGTGCTCAATGCCATAGTAACCATGATGAAATGTGGGTGGCGGCTGGCAGGTGGCAGCGGTGAAGCAGAAACCCAGCATTACCTGCAACAGCTGGACAGGGTCGGGCTCCTGGCTGATACTGCAGACCCTGTCGGAGAGACTGTTCAAGACGTCAATTTGGTCCTCACACGACTTGATTTGCTCCCCGTATGCCTGGAGGGTAAGCTGGGTATTCTTATCGATGAATTTCTTGGCCAGGACTTCCTCTTCATCAAGTAGCAATCTGAGTTCAGTGAATTTCCCTGTCAGCCAGATTTTACTTGACTCTGCATGAGCCTAAAAAGAAAACCCGTTGCAGATGATTTGAGTGCCAACTAGGAAATCTAGGATAATCAACATGAAAAAACTATTACGACATCTAAAAGCAAGGTTCAGTCAGGGACAAGATCAACTTACAAGAACTCAAGCTTTCCTAAGGACCCGCCATAACCAATTGCAGGGAGAAATAAAGGTCCCTTTAAAATAATGGATAATATAGCAATGTATCTAGAAATAAAACTGAAAAAAAAGCTGTAAAGACCTAGATAAAGAAAAGTATAGAATTGTAATGAAAGACATTAAATAATCTGAATGGGTGGAAGAAAAAAACATATCCCTGGTATGCCATAACCTTGGTCTTAAACTTCACTCTAAAGGTGATGGGTCAGCCTGGCCGGCAGGGCTCAGTGGTGGAGCAGAGACCTATGAACCAGGAGGTCACAGTGTGATTCCTGGGCAGGGCCATGCCCAGGTTGCAGGCTTGATGATGCCCGTAGGGGGTGTGGAGGAGACAGCGGATCAATGATTCTCTCTCATCATTGAGGTTTCTATCTCTCTCCTCTCCCTTCCTCTCTGAAATCAATTAAAAAAATATTTTTTAAAAAGATGCTATTTATCTCCAACTCAGTCTATAAATTGGGCACACTCCAAATAAGTCTTAACATGCAGATTAAACAAATGTTAAATTGTCAGGGGGAGCCCTGGCCAGTGTGGTTCAGTTGGTTGAGCAGCATTCCGTGTACCAAAGAGTCGCTGGCTTGCTATCTGGTCAGGGCACAGGCCTGGCTTGTGGGCTCGATCCCCAGTGGGGGAGAATAAACACAAGAAAAGTAAAAAATTGCTTTAAAAACATCAATGAAGGATGCGTTGCCTTACTTAATACCAAACAAACTAACACTACAGGATTTAAAACCATACAGCTTAGGCATAGACAAAATGGTCAGGAACACAGAATAAAGAGTTATAAAGCTATAAAAGAGTTATACACACACACACACACACACAATAATGGTGGCATTTCAAATTATTGAAAGGGAAGAGTGAACTATTCAATAAATGGTATTGGTACAACATGCAATTAACCATGTATTTGACAAAATTTAAGTTAGATTCTTATCCTGTATATAAAAATAAATCCAGACAGAACCCTGCCTATGAAGTAGTCTTGCCAACAGATGTGAACCTGAATCAGATCAAGCCTCTAGATCTAAATAAAAGATTCAGCATAGAGGAGAGAGGAGCATGTGAGCCATCAACTTGAGAAATACATCAAGCAAGTGCATTTCGAAACTATTTCGCTCCTAATTCAAACTAATAAAATGTGACACTTATAAGACAACTGGAAATGTGACCACTGAGTGGATATTTGATGACATTAAGGAACTACTGTTAATTTTCATTGGTGTGATGATGAAACTATGGTTAGGTACTTTTAAGAAATGAGTCCTGCCCTGGCCAGTGTTGCTCAATGGTTAAAGTGTCAGCCCGCACACTGAAAGGTCTCCCACACACGCCCTGACTGGGGACAGGGATCAAACCCAAAACCCAGGCATATGCCCTTGACTGGGAATCAAATCCAAGACCCTTCGGTGTGCAGGGCATGCTCTAACCATTGAACAACACCTGCCAGGGCTACAAAATAATCCGCCCCCACCCCCCAAATAATATTAATGGCAATACACATTGTTATAACTAAAAATGTCCCCAAGAAAACTCAGGTGCAAGCATATGAGGCTGATTATGCAATATGGTTAAAAAATTTAAAAAGAGGGAGAGGGAGAATTCTGGCAATGAAACAGGAAGGGCTGTCTGGTTTAGGCTGCATTGGTTCAAAGTGAAACCGGATCCCAGATTGAACTGGACTGAGGTCAGGACGTGGCTGGACGGGGCTGGGGCTGGGCCAGGGCCTGACAGACTAGCTGAGGAGATCTAGGGACTGTGGGGGAGAAGGAACTTGAGCAGCGACAAAGCCCTGGCCTGGGAGGTGGAGGATTTTACACATGGAATGGAAAGAACCGTTTTGCTGAAAACAGTATGACTTTGGACAATCCTGTTATAACTGCCTCTCAGGGGCGTCCCACCAGGGAAGGAAGTGTGCTGGCCAGCCCTGCCCAGGCCACATTATTTATGACATCCGTGCACTCTGATATGTGGCAGCAGCTGGCAAGAAAGGGCAGAGGAATGGCCACGCCCAGCGGGGGCGGGAGGGGTGGAGAGCAATGGCATCGCCAGGGTCAACAGCAAGGCCAAGCCCTCAGCTTCCTAGTCTCAATCTGGCAAAGGCTGGTTCATATCCCCTACCCCATGCCGCGGTCCAGTCCTTACAGCTCGGGTGGGTCACAGGGAAAGGTATAAAGCCAGGAACTCAAGATGCTTACACACTCCCCAGGGAGCCCGCCAGGATCTCCCTTCAGGCTGGGTTTGGTTTGGTCAATGGGAGGAGGAACTAGAGGGAGGTCAGAGGGTGAGGGGAACAGCCCGTCTGTTCCCACAGGTTCCGGCTCCTGCCTAGGTGGCCCTGGACTCTGCTAATACCACCCCCTCCCTTTGGCCCTGCAGCCCAGGGTGAAGGTGCTTCCTGCTGGGGCCAATTGCCTCACCACGCCCTGGTTGGCTTCCCTGCCCCTTCCGTGCCTGTCACCATTCCCTGCATTCATCTCCTCAGGGTGAAACCCCCAACGTGGCTTCTGTCTTCCTGGGTGGACCGTGATAAACACAGCCATGGCCCCAGGTCCACCTCTACCTTCCTATGTGACCAATGACAAGTTATTTCCTCTGCCTGGGGGGCCCCATCTCCAAGGCCTTCCAGCCTGACACTGTGCACATTCTAAATCCCTGCCTAGATCTGGATTCAACAGACATTAACCAAATGTAAATATACATGTATTTTCTTCATTTATAAAAGTATCAAAAGCTCCTTGTAGAATATTCGGGAGATTCAGGAAAAACACACAACCACTGCGTCTTATCCCAGTTTGAATAAAAAGTCAGGGTGGCAGGCAAGTGTTGAATTTTCCCCACACCTGCATGTATGAGCCTCCGAGGAGCCATGATGGGGACAAACAGCCTAATAACAAGGGTGTCAGAGAAAATCATTTCATAGGTGTGGGCTGGGGATTAATGACCAAGTCCTCCTTGATTGTTCTATGAAAGGGAGTGGTTGGTTAGGCTTGCTCATTGGCTTCTGAACAGCAGACTTTGGACATTGTCTGATCTTTATTGATTTTAATTTATTTACAAGACTGTTTTATGGGTTAATTTTCAGGTGAATGGCCTTTGCCTGGCAACTGCCCCGTGTAAACGAGTCCAGAGCAGCACGCTTGCCCCAGACCCCGCTGCCACAGACCGCCGGCTACAGCTGGGCAGAACGTACAGTAATCCTCACAAATGTTGTGCCTGTTGAACTAGAGGCATCACTTCTGGACATGTGTCCCCAAGGAAGTAAATCAAGGTGCCAGAAATGTTCACTGCAATGCTATTTTACATTAGTGAAAAGCTGGAAATAACCTAAACGTTCAACATTAGGACAACGGCTTACTTAGTTAACAACCCGCCCTCTGCAGAAAAACAAACCAAAAACCAAAAACCAAAAAAAACCCACCAGAAAAACCCACAATCCAACAGACAACAAAAAAGGAAATCCTCAGGTGCCCCAAACAGAGGGAACTTGATGTCGGAGCCATGGGCAGAAGAGGAGCTGAGTGCCCCCGGGAGGGATGGGCGTACAGGTGTCTGTGACACCCCACACTGGGGCCTGCTCAGCCAGGGGGCGCGCAGGGCCCTTGGCCCTATTCCAGGGGGAAGGGGAATGGGGTCTCCTGCATCAAGCCAGGGTCACAGAGAGCTGTTCCATCCATGAACCAGGCACCAGAAAAACTCACCCACTGGCCTGGGGAAGCGGCAAGGAATCTTGTCACCCATCCAGGGTCTTGGGGGAAAAGAGAGTCACTAGCAAAACACACGAACAAACCCAGTAACAGGCTTGGAGTCTGGATGTGCGGACCCTCAAAACTAAAACACTCACATGACAACCGGTCTGGAACTGCTGAAACTCCGAGCCCGCCTCAGACGCTCACGCTACAGTGCTCTGCAGGGGCTGCTCACACCCAGGGCACGTGGGGCACCGTGGAAAACGCCCACTGAAGGCCAGGGGACGACACAAACTCCAAGTCACACAGGGAAACGAGCCGCCATGCCTCCCTCCACCCTGGACACTATACCAAAGAGTATTCGTGTACAGAAAACAAAGCCTCAAAATGTGAACTGGTGGTTGGCCTGGAGTGGCAGAATTATCACTGAATTTTAAAAAATCTGTTGACCGGGAACTGAAATATAAATGCCCACAGGAGACAGCTTGGTAACACAGTGAGGAGCGTGGGCAGGCAGGGGCCGGGGGAACTGGCAACGCATATCCTTCTCATGAGCATGTCCATTGCTCAGCTCCACGTGGGAATGCAGGCCTAGCGGGGCACAGCCTCCTACTTTTCTACGTCTAACTCTTTATACAGATACCTCTCAGCTTTAAAATGCTGACTGCTAATTTTTCTAAGAGTCACTTAGGTATAAATCCAGTAACACATGTTCAGGAATTGTATGCTGAAAACTACAAAATACTGATGAAAGAAAACAAAGACCTAAATTAATGAAGAGATATGCCATGGTCACGAATCCTCAAATGCTGTAATGATAGAGACAGAGAATAAACTAGTGACTGCTAGGAGTTAGGGATTGCTGGGGGCGGGGCGGGGGTGACAATATGGTTGTAGCAGGAAGTTAGACCTTGGTCTCGATGGAACGGTTCTGTATTTTGGTTACAGCAGCAGTTACTCAAATCCACACAGGTGATAAGTTGACATAGAACACATATACACACACTGTCAATGTTCTGGTTTTGAAATTGTACTACAGTTAGGTAAGCTATAACCCTTGGGGCAAACTAGGTGAAAGGCACGCAAAACTTACTATCTTGGCAACTTCCTGTGAATCTATAATTATTTCAAAATAAAGGTTTGAAAATTGGGGAGAAGGTTAAAAGAAAGAAAACCATTCCTTACTCTAAGCTGAAACCTGCCCCCTTGGACAGTCCACATGGATCCTAATTCTCGTCTTCAGGGCCCCACGCTGTATCTGCTTGGAGACTTGCAGACGGGGACCTGTGCCCCGATCCTGGTCTCGCTAAACAGCCCAAAGCACCGCACCGCCCCCCCCCCCCCC